CCCTTTTTTTTTTTTTTTTTTTTTTGTAAACAAGTGGATTAGTAATATGCCAGATGATCTGATGCAGGAATCTGTTCATATTATTCTTTACTGAAAAGTATATGTATTTAAAAAGAAACCATAAAGTGTGAATTACCTTGAGAAGAGACTAGTTTTCAAAATATAAAAGTGAAGAGATAATTTTTCTCTGAATATCACATTTAATATTAAAATTGTAGGTTGAATGGACTATTTTAAACTGCTGCTTTTGAGTCCTGATTCTTTCACTTACTGATTTGTACATCATATCAAAGACCCTTGAGCCTGTGTTTTCTCAATTGGAAAATAAGAGTGTGACTCCTCTCCCTTCCAGGACTGTGTGAAGATTAAAATAAGATACATACAGGGCTGGGGATTTAACTCAGTGGTGCTGCTGGCTGCCTGGCAAGCACAAGGTCCCCAGTTCGATCCCCAGTTACAGCAAAAACAAAAAGACACACACAGTACAGGTAGGTGCTGAGTTCATGAGCATGTCCCACTGCCCTATCTATGAAAGACCATATAAAAATTGTTTTAGCTTTAACATGTGTTTGCTGCTGAAGTACACAGTTCACTGTTGTTTGTCTAAAAATAGAAGTAATTATAGGTCTTAACTTTTATTTGAATTGCGGACTTTATCTGAATATTCACATCTTATTTTAATATTATTTATTTTAAAGTTATGATTCTTCATTTAGGCAGTTGGTACTCATCAGAAACGATTTGAAAGTAGATAATAACAGGACAGTTTGAAACTGTTCATGAAGAGACTGTTATCTGGTGCATGATTTATGAAAATGCTTTCTTTATTTCCCCAGCCTAGTATTAGATTCTTGCTTAAGAGAAAACAGCTTGGTTCCAATTACCAATATGAAGGTAAAGTACAATTTCAATGTCTCTCTTATGACAGAGATAATTTTGAAACCCAACCGAAAAGACTTCAGCAATATTCAGGATAACTGTCATGAACTAAAGGAAGAGTCTTAAAATTTTTTTTTTCTCTTTTCTTTGCAGCTGACTTTGGGATCTGTAATTTATGAGCTGCCATGGAAACAAGTCACATGTGTGAGTTCCCATAGCAAAAGTGGCAGCCTATGAATGGTGAATATTCAAGGTGGCCCCAGACTCATCTGTGCCGAGAACAGTTCAGTACTAAAACATTCAGAGATCTTAGAAGTCATAGACAGAGCAAAACAGGCACTGTTTCAGTGAACAAAATGACAGTTGCCTAATATACCTACTGATTTCCCCATGCCTGTTTAGATATAAATAGTAATTCTCCAGTGTAGGTACGTCAGAGTACGTAGTTACATTTTGATCAAGGCACACTCATTTTTTTCCAGGGATCATGAATACATTATTGTTAAGAATATTGACTTAATATTTTAGTGTTACTTGGCTTGATTCCAGCCAAAGACATGTTTGGTACTTTAAAGCAATCTTGAAGTATGACTCTCCTCATATAATGTTTTAGAAACCAATATTTGTGAAACTACTAAGAAAGTAAGTAATTATTGATTGATAATATTGATTGGTAGTCTAGTTGTCAGTGGAGCTGTCAGCAGAAAACCTCACGATAAAAGGACATTAAGATTGGTTTATATTGTTTCTCATTGTTCTGTGGGTTGTTTCATATACTTTACAGAGGGGAATAACTTATTGATTGATTGATTGGTTGATTGGAGACGGGGCCTCACAAAGTTGCTAAATTGCCCAGATTGGGCTCAAACTTGGGGTCCTGCTGTCTCCATCTCCTAGAGTGTGATTAAATATGTATGCCAACCCTTGGTTTTAAATTTCACTTCTAAGTGTATTTTTCTGATCATCTTTTTTTTCACATTTGCCTACTCTTTTCACTGTGAAAATAGATAGCAAATAGTAGAATAGATCAAACAGACATGGAAATTGCCAAAATGGTGAGCATGCTGAATATAACATGTGATTTGAGAAGTCAAGACAGCAAAGAAGTCAGCTGCATATATGCATTGATCGATATTTTCATCTTGGATTTTTTTTTTTACATAGGGTCTGGCTGTGTAGTTCAGGTTGGCCTTGCACTCACTATGTAACCCAGTCCAGCCGTAAACTGGTAATGATCCTCCTGCCTCAGCCTCTGGCATGCTGGGATTACAGATGTGCACTGCTGCTCCCTGCCTCATCTTGTTTTGGCACAGTTTTCACTTGGTTCACTTATATGACTAGCAAAATAGATTTACTTTAATGAATAAATGTTCTAGTTACTGAGAAACAAGAATTTTTTTTCTGCTATTTTAACTAGGTTAAAAATAAAATTTAACTTATAAGTGATATGTTTAATTGAAATTCCTATTTCAATTCTGTTATCATAATTTTGGTTTGAAGTTTACCATATCTCCTCAAATTTTTGAATCTAGATAAATATTTTCTTCATGATTCTGACCACATTGGATAGCTATACTTGTATGCCTTACCTTTTATATATACTTTTGACAAAGACAACTCCTTTTAATTACTCACCTATCGCAGTGTATGTGGTGTATGTCAATATGTTACCATCCTCCAAATCTTACATACAAACTAAACTGTTTCTTTCTTGTTTCTAGCTCCCTTCACCACAGGAGATCCAGAGATTTCATTTGAAGCCTATAGAATTTACCTCAAATTGGTTTCAAAGACAACTGCTAAGATTGAAAAAAAATATAATCACCAGCCCTCAGTGAAAACATCCTAAGTCCCCAGAACTAACATCAAAGAAGCACCATTCTATAGTTTTCCTGCCATCTAGAGTGTGTTGAGAAGGTGCCAGGATGAACTGTTGACAGGCTTTGTCGGGTTTAGGTTGTTGCCTTGTAGAGCATGATGCCAAAGAGTGACTGACTGCCTAGAATCCCGGCAGAGCAGGACGGTAAAATAAGCCTAACCAAAAACTGAGTATAAAAAGAGAGGAAAAGGTGTGACTTCAAGAGAAAATGCTGCCATGGAGACAGATCAAACTTTTGAAAAGGAAAAGAAGCACTACAAAGGGAGAAAAAGAAAAATGAACAGATTGCTGGGAGAATTATTCTAGAACTGAACATATCTGAAGTGTCAGGCAACACCTCTCTAAAAATGCACTTGGAATGCAGCCATCACATTTCAACACTAGACTGTTTTCAAGTGTTATGAAAGACATGTGAGATTTGGTGTCAATTCTACCCTTGGAATTCAGAAAGAAATCAGGTTAAGGAAAAGATGCTAAGAAATTAGAATCGTTTTTTTTTTTTTTTTTTAAAGCAGGGAATGAAGACATAACTTAAAGCATCATTGTTCCCAAACTAAGTTGAAATCAAAGCCCTACATTTCAATGCTTCATAGCAATTGGAAAATATTGTCTAATTAAATGTTTTTTTCTATATAAGACTTTACTTAATGCTCATTTAAAAACTAAATATTATCAGAGTTCTCTGTTTTCATTTTGTAGCATATCCTATTTTATTCTCCATTGAAAGATCGTGCATAGCTCAAGCTCTGTACAAAATGATTAACTGAATAATATAGAAAGTATGTGTAAGAAATATCTTAAAGTTTATTTCAAAAGCATAGTAAAATATGAATCAGTGTAGCTCATGTCATGTTTAGATCCAAAATATCCCCTGAAAGTCTTGTATTAGGGGTTGGGGTCTGGTTGGATGGAACGGGTAAGTGGGTGTGTAACTAGATGGATGTATTCTTGTCCCTGGTTCCTTCCTTCTCCCTCTGCTTCCTGGCCACAACATGGTGACTAGCTTTCTTCTCCCCTGCTCTTCTGCCATGGTACTTCTGTCTTGAGGCCAAAATAAACCTCTGTGAACCAAATTAAACCACTCTGAACCAAAATAATACTCTCGTCTTTTAAATTACAGGGATTAGATATATTGTCCCAGTTTCAGGCAAGTGATCAAGAAAGAAAATTGCTACTGAGTGGGGTTGTTTCTGTGACTGTACCTGACCGTGTAATTTAGAAGTTTTTGGAACTCGTTTATGGGAGTGGTTTGGAAAATTTGGAGATGCCAGCTAAGAAACTCTATAATACTATGAGAAATGCTTGATATATAATAATGGTCAGAGCTCAGAAGGCAAGAGTGCTGGGAGAAATCTGGACAATAAAAGCCAGGCTTAGGAGATTTCAGTTGAAATAAGGATTTCATTGAATTTTGGACAGGAGGCCATATATGGTACACTGTGGCAGAAAATTTGGCTACATTTTGCCCTAGTCCTGAGACTGCAGGAGACTGAGATTAAAAGTAGTGGACTACCTAATCTGGCAGAGGAAATTTCAAGGCAGCTCAACATTCAGTCTGTGGCATGGGTATTGCTGACTGCTTTTTAGCCAGATCTACAGTGACAATTAGGAGCAAACAGAAGGCCTGAATGGTTTGAAAAGTTTACAGTTTGTCCAGAAAGAAATGCCTGCAAAGTTGGGCCATGGATATGGCTGTTGAAAAAAGTACCATTAAAAACAAGCCAAGGGCCCAGGATTTAGCTCAGTAGTTCCGCCACCTGCCTTGCAAGGTGCAACATCCCAAGTTTGATCCCTGGTGCCAAATAAATGAATAAGTAAATAAATAAAAAGAATGTAAGAGTTATGGTCACAGAGGCTTCCACAAAGATTCCAGAGGAAGGGCTAGAAGTCTAGGCGGTATTCTCCTGAGAAGGCTTTGTGTGAAGCCGTGAGAGTGACGTTGAAGGAACAGTGGAAACATTGGAGATGCCAAATGTGGAGAACTGCGGGCAGCAAGTGTAACTGGTCCAGGAAGGAGGCCAATCAGGCCGTAATCTGCCATGCCATATGAATCAGCCCTTGTGAGTTCACATCGCACTATAACCTTCCCTGGGTACTGGATATGGAGCCACAGGACTTAATGTTTGCCCTGCTCAATTTTCAGTACTGCTCTGGTCCAGTCCTTTTCCAGTTCCCTATTTCTCCCTTTTGGAATGGGAATATTTACCCTGTTCCAATGTATGTTGGAAGTATTTGCCTTTCTTTTTGATGTTTGCAGGAGCTCACAGCCAACCATTTGCCTTGGGTTTCAGAAAAGGTATTGGACTTGGACTTTTCAGCAATATTAGAACTGTTAAGTCTTTGGTGACTTAGAAATGTATTATAGATTTTTCATAATGGGCTAGACATAAATTTGGGGTTCTAAATACCACCCTAAATTCTCACATTAGTAGGCAGGGCCTATTCTGAAGCAGTGGGTTACTGCAGGCACAACTTCGAAGGGTGTATACTTGTCCCTGGCTCTTCCATTCTCTACTTCCTAGCCACTATGTAGGGAGCAGCTTTCATTCACCATGCCGTTCTGCCATGCTGTTTCTGCCTTTGAGCCAGCTGACCACAGACTGAATCCAATGCAACTGTGAGCAAGAATAAACCACATGTCTTCTAAGTGTTGGGTGTCAGGTATTTTGTCTCAGTGACAAGAAAGGGACTAAGATGCTCATAAACATAGACACAAAATCCTCTGAAAAATATTAAAAAATCAAATCCAACAATGTATAAAAGAATTATATATTATAATCAAGTAGGATTTATTCCAGATGGACTGAACTGATTCAGTGTTGGAAAATTAATTGCATAAAGCATTATGTCTATTGACACAGCAAAATCACCTGACAAAATCCAACACCTATTCAACAAACAAAAATTTTCTCAATTTCAGAAAAATCATCTACAAAATATCTGTATATAATATATTTATTGATGAGAGATTATATATTTTCTACTTTAGCTCATGAACAAGGAAGGCATGAATGTCTTTTCTCTCTACTCTTATTCAGCGTCTACTAGAAGTCCTAGGTAATGCAATAAGATTAAAGAAAAAAAGACATATAAGTTGGAGAGGCCAAGGATTTAGCTCAGTGGCGCTACACCTGCCTCACAAATGGAAGGTCCTGAGGTATCGGGGTGCGGGGTAGATATACAAGTTGGAAAGAAGAAATGAAATAATCTTTATTTGCAAAAGACTATGTAGAAAAATGTAAATAAAAACAAAAACATACTAATAGAAAACACCAAATATCTCCTGGAACTAATAAGCAAGTAAAGGAAGACAATAGTTTACAAAGTCACTGTTTTTAGTTTGAAAAAGCATTTATTTATTAGAGCAATTAATGAGATGAAAAATGGGAGATTTTATTTTACTTTGAGATATTCTTTCTCTGATGCTTTTCCTTTTGTAAAAATGTGGATTTGAGTTTTTGGTATATTCTTCTTGTCAAACACTTTATTTTAGCATTTATTTCAGTCTTCCCCATTATAATTTATTTGTAAAATCATTTTTCCATTTGAATAAGTTAAGGTATTTTTCCCTTTTGGCATGCTTTATTTATTTTTTTGAAATCTACACATGACATATTATGCAGAGAACCAAATTATGAGGCTTTTATTATTGTGTGTGTTCGATATTAATTTGGCTAGCATTTGGACTGTGTTCAATGCTTGCTGTACCTGTAGATGTCAGAGGCTTTAAATTCTTCTATTGTCCTTATTTTTGTCTTTGTATTTCTTTGAAATGTTTCTTAGAGTCTGAGCTTTGCTGGTCTTTCAGCTGTAATCCCCTGTTGTTGCACTGCTGATGTGATAGAAAGAAGTTGGAAGGGAAGTGTTCTATAATCTCATAAGCAAATCTTAGTCTGTTATTGCTTTTCATCACCATTTAGGTGAATCAGGAAGGCTAACAGGGGCTACAGTTGGGTATTCACCTTATGTTTATTTGAAAAGACTAGGAATGACTTGTCTCCAAAGGGTAGGCCTTTGTTACAGTGTATTGCAAAATGAGTACTTTCTACCTTCACCTGCCAAAGACATAGGTGATTTTTCTTGACTTTTCTGTGTAGTGGCATCCTTGAAGGTACAACCCATAATATTCTGGGACAGAAGCTTAATATACAAAGGCTGTTTTATTATATAACAGCAATGAACAATTGGAATTTAAAATTTTAAAAACCATTTAGAATACCACTAAAATGTACTTATTTTATTATAAATCTAAGAAAATATCTAAGGATGTATATACAGTATAAATTTTTATATACTTTTATACAAAGTATAAAACTTTGATATATGAGAAAATTCAAATAAAGGTAGTGATATCCCCAAGTTCATGGATTGGAAGAAAGACAAGGCTGTTAAAATGCCAACTTTTCCCAAGGTGATCTATAGATTCAAAGTTAGTACACATGTATTTTCTTTGTTTGTCAGCTTAGAGAGCATAGAAACAATGACTTCCTAATAACACTAAGTGCATCTATTTCACAGAACTTAGTTTCCAATACCATTTTCTAAAGATAAAACCCAGGACTTGCAGAAAGGATTGATATTACTAGACTGAGGTATCTATCTATCTATCTATCTATCTATCTATCTATCTATCTATCTATATCTATATCTGTAATGCCTGAAATATCTGGAATTTGTGGAAGGAAGTGTTGAACATTCTCTTCCCCAACACAAACAAACAAACAAACAAAAAAACAACCCCACAAGGAAGAGGGTATGTCAAAAGAGAGGAGCCACCTGAAAGAGCTTCAGCTGTTGATCAGACTGAAACAGATTGAACAATGAAATAAAGTAGTATTGGATTAGATAAATATTTATGAGTTTATACTGACTGACTGCATTTCTTTTTCCCCAAACTCAAAGCCTCATTTAATCATGAGAAAAATACCAAATAACCATTGAAAGGCATTCCACACAATATCTGAACAGTGCCCCTCACAACTGTCACAGTCACAAAAAACAAGGGAAGTCTGAAAAACTGTCACAGCAGGAGTGATGTAAGGAGATGTAAGTAAATGTATTATGTAATCCTAGAACAGAAAAAAGAATTGTTAAAGATGAAGGAAGTATGAAAAAGGTATAGATGTTAGTTAATAGTAACATATTAATATTGGTTCATTAATTGTGACAAATATGTTAATGAGAGTGCTAATTGATTGGAGTTTTATACCGTTTTCTCAAATTTTTGTAATGTAAAACTATTCTAAAAACAACAAACATTTAAGAAAATACTGTGAAGTCTATATTTATTTGATTTTTATCTAGTTGACACTAGAATGTGAAAAAGCAACCTACACATTTATTGATGTGGCAGATAGTGTGTCTGCAGTTCTATTTTGCCTGCCTACAGTTAAACTCTGTATAATACCTGAATGAGTTCTTTTTTTAAAATTGAGTTTATTGGTACATTTTAGGGATAC